TTCAGTCGACGCTTAGGCATTTTTGTGTTTTATTACGTCTAAATGAGTGCTCAGCATGAATTTCCTGTACATTAATATATTGACATTAAACATTGATAAAGTCTACTTAATAACTAGATAAAAATTATAATATACTTCTTGAATTGAACAAACATAAAAAACAAGTTCTAAAGTAGGTACATATTTTTACTATAATGAGGTTAATAAGAGCTATAATTATTTATATAGCTTTCCCAATTTTGTGATAAAACTTTCTAAGATAAAAACATTGACGTAACTATAATATATTAAAAGATTTGCAAATAACAGACACTTTTTTTTCAGGAAGAATATCAACATACCTATATTAAAATAAATAAAATTAATTAAATATGGAGATTGATAAAAAAATGTATTCAGTAAATTTTGTTAAGTGAAGTGATTACAGAAAATTCGTCAAATGACTTGTTCATTTCTTTGTATCCCTGTGATTACCTTCGAATAAAATAGTGTATATATTGAAAGAACCTTAAAGAACCTTCGTATTATAAGGTATGCAAACACCGAAATATCTCACAAGCGTAAAAAGAGAAAACATATTTTAGACATAATACTGCAGGGTTGCCATTGCCGCATCTTTATTTCAAAATATACCGGATGATCCGGAAAAGCGTAGCAACCCAAACGGTTATTTGTTTTAATGGAATAAAAAATTATATACCAAAATTACATCTTTAGAAGATATATTTAAAACTCTGCAAATGAAAACCTCTCGTGAACAAATTCTGGTTTAGGAGTCTGTACAAATTGTACAGGACTAATTCAGATTTAAAACATATTCCACACACTTACTTTATACGTAAGGCTTTTATTTATGAAGTGGTTTTATTTATATCATAAAGCATTTAAAAAATAAAACATTTATAAACACTTACTTTCTCTTTCCAAATATCTCGCTTCCTGCCTTTGAAACTGCATAGACTTCAGCAAAATCAGAATTAACATCATAACAAATGAAACGCCGAAGAAAAAAATTGTCTCAACCCAATCTTCTATCATAATTATCTATTGTTTTAAAAACGTGTATCATGTAGGTACTTCAGATTTAGGTATTTATTTGAGGGAATTATACAAAAGTCTAATTTTTTCAACATTGTAGATTAGATAAAGAGATTTGTCCAAGCGTAAAAATGCAAACGGTATATAAGTAAAGAAAAGTAAGTGTTGGTATCAAATTAAATAAGTCGGCAATTGCTATTCAATTTAAATAAAACTATCTTGATTATGTTAAAATGAAGGACTATTATAATAAAGAAAATGAGATAAATTATTATTTTAATGTGTTAAGATCAAGATTACTGTTAATTGCTTTTTTACACATCGTGCCTTATAGTATGCAGTTCATTAAAACGTTCATAGTTTTCTACTTAATTGATGTGGACCATAGCCAGCTTAATTTAGAGCCCATGTTGATTCAAGCAATTCGTGTTCTAATTGGTTAATATTGTGACGTTCATTTATTTTTTTTTTCTAATTATTAACCTTTCCCATTATTCGACAATTTGGCATTACTCAAGCGCAAAAAAAAGCGCGGGAATTTTAAATCGAGTAATTTTCCAAAAAATTTCTGCTATCTCTTTTTTATCCTCGCCTTACAACTGTTGTGTTGGCTACGATGATTGTCCCATCATCATTACTTTATACTATTGTGAAAGAAACCTAAGGCTAAGTCATTTATACTTATTTTTGATATACAAAATTGGGATCGGTAGGCGTGGCTTTTTCACTAATTTAAATGGCGGAAAAGCAGGTACGGATTTACACTTTCTTACTTCTACTATTTCTCGTTAAGTAAATCTGATTTGAATTTAAAAAAATTAATTGCCTTTGCATATATTGTTTACTATTAAGTTTTTTATTAAAATAAAAGTTATAAGTTTGAACAAAACTTGTATTAATTTAAGTCTAACAATAATTGTTTGTTTTTATAACCGGCATTTTCCTTCGTCAATAAACATTATTTAATCTTCTCAAATTAAAAGAGAAAACTCAACAATAAGATATACTTAGCGTAATAAGTTCATTTAAAATCTACATTATACATACCTATTTGTTTTTACAAAAAATAGAAATTCACTATTTTTAAATTGTCCTATTTCATTTTCTACTGATGATGTAAGAAAGACATGGATGCATATCAGACCCCGAAAAAATTAAATTTGGTTTATCCTAAAGTGAAAACTAATGCCGATCAGCTAATTTTGCCCGAAGAAGGGTTACCTTCTTCGGGCAAAATAATCTTAATATTTGATAAATATATTTTTCATTGGTTGTTGGGCGCCATTTTGTAACAAGTGATATTGGTTTTACTTACCGTGTTTTAGCTCAATTTTAATTAGGGCCGTGAGTAGCACTTAATAACCTTGACAAAACTTAACTATAGGAAAGGTATGGAGGGCGCCACCAAACTTACATAAACATATCATTTAAGGTGAATTATAATAGTTTGGCAAATATAATTAATATGACTGATGTTAAAACAGAATGTATATGTTTATGCAGGCAAGTAACAATTACAATCTACACAAGCCATGATTCATTTAAATTACTTCTTTATTTAATTTTTCAAAGATAAAAATGAAACTTATCTCAAAGTAGGAATGGTGTAGGTCTTCAATATTTCTCAAATAAGGACGGTCTCCTACAGCGATGCGTCTTCTTCTAAATATAAATTAACATGTTTGTAACCATAAATTCAACTATCTTCTAACCATAAATCAACATATTTGTAACCATAACTTCAACTGTCTTCTAACCATAAATTAACATATTTTCAACTGTCTTCTCAGCGTTTGTTAAAAAAAAAATATTTTAAACTATGTTCTCAGCGTAGTTGTAAAAAACCATCCAAAAGTTGACTTATCATGAAAAACTGATGGTTCTCACCACTAATAAAAATACCACATACTGTTTAAGATTACTTAAATATTAGCAGATTTAATAATCTCGACTGCCTCGTTCTGAGGTATTATTATAAGGAGGCGAGGGAAATAAAAATAAATAAAAATAAATAAAAATAAATAAAAATAAATAAAAATAAATAAAAATAAATAAAAATAAATAAAAATAAATAAAAATAAATAAAAATAAATAAAAATAAATAAAAATAAATAAAAATAAATAAAAATAAATAAAAATAAATAAAAATAAATAAAAATAAATAAAAATAAATAAAAATAAATAAAAATAAATAAAAATAAATAAAAATAAATAAAAATAAATAAAAATAAATAAAAATAAATAAAAATAAATAAAAATAAATAAAAATAAATAAAAATAAATAAAAATAAATAAATATAAATAAAAATAAATAAAAATAAATAAAAATAAATAAAAATAAATAAAAATAAATAAAAATAAATAAAAATAAATAAAAATAAATAAAAATAAATAAAAATAAATAAAAATAACTAAAAATAAATAAAAATAAATAAGTACTGCGTGCAATCTGATGATATTAGCAGATGAGAGCCGTGCCAGAAATGTGGTATAAAATGAGATTATCAATTAGAATAATATATTTAAATATTAGAAATAGTCTAATTAACATTATTCTATAATGCTATCACAAACATACCGTGAACAGTAAAACAACATATTATCGCGTCTTTTTTTAGGAAGTCGTTCATTTTTTTTATACTAAAAACACGACTCCACGCGTGCAAAGCCGCGGGCAACAGCTAGTTTGGAATATAATTATAAACGTCTATATAAACAGATATATTTTATATCAATGAAACCGTAAAAGAATGCCAAGTAAATGACGTGTCGCTGACGTTATAAAACGGACGGTAAAAAACGTTTTAGAAAGCACGTACTAAAGACGTTATATTTTGCTAGAATGACCTTTAATCTCCTTTAAGGGTTTTTAACGTCATACTGAGGGCAGTCTGCTAGCTGGGACTGTCCTGCCGGCATTTTTTAAGACGTAGATTCGGGCATTTTGAAGTAAAAATTAATTTTTTAACAGATTTATAGATAGAAAAATAATATCTCACGACTATTTTTCACGACGAAGCACATTAAAATAACAAAACATTCCTAGAGTTATTTTTTGATAGATTTTACTTTGTGCATGTATTAACTTGTATGTTTGCGATGCCGGCGCTCTTGTTCTATAAACAAGTCAGTTCAAGTTTCCACGTTCTAGTTTTTGTTGGATTGCATATACTGCGTATGTGTGTGAATGTAATAACAATAAGATAATTTACTTAGCCAGGTAAAATCATTATTTATAAAAACAGGTACTATTGTATTTTATTAAATTAATTTCCTAAATATATAATATTTTAAAAACATTTTTTATTTTTAAATATTTCTATACAGGGTGTTAAAAAAAAGTGTCACAAACTGAAATGGTGTATAGTATGACCCAAAATAAGCAGAAAAGTCTTAATAAATATATGACCGCAAATTAACGGTTTCGGAGATACGGACCATTTTGTGTTTATAACAATTTTTTATTATTATAAAAAAACAATGATATTTATAAACAATCAATAACAACATAGAGTTAAATGAGATGTTCAAAGTGCCCTCCCTCCGTTTGAATGCATTGCCATTTGCACGACCGTACATAAAATGCATGTCAGCTAATTCAATATTAGTGTAAACAGGCATAACGAAAATTTATAAAATTATTCACCCACAACAAAATAATAACTGCAAATAGTATCTATGAAAAAACATCGGTAGACTCCGATAAGAAAAGCAAGTTTTTGAGAATGAAAAAAGATAATCAAAAAATGATACAAAACACAAAATACTCCGTATCTCTGAAACCATTCATTTGCGGACATATGTTTATTAAGACTTTTCTGCATATTTTGGCTCATACTACCCCCCGTTTTATTTTGTGACACTTTTTTTTAACACCCTGTATATATATATATATATATATATATATTTTTAATGAAAAATAAATATTTTTATACCGCCCCGATAGAAAGTTTCAGGGCCCACTGGCAGGGACGACGAGAGGGGGTAGCCTGGGCAAATTCCCGGGGCCCGGGCACAAGCGGGGGCCCAGCAGCGGCACAAGGGAGGCCCGGCCGCTTTAAGTAAGGACGTTTTATTTTTTTAGAAGTTCGCCATAAAAGGAAGGAGCGCTGGTTTACGTAAAATACAAGATGAGGACCTTTTTTAGAGATTCCACTAAAAACTAAAAAGGATTTAAGTTTTTGCTTGAGGGCCTTTTTTTAGAAATGTGATATTGAAAGGGTTTAATTTTTTTATAAAATTGTCACGGGGCCCCCACCTGGAAAATTGTCCCGAGGCCCCACCTGGCTCTCGGCGGCCTTGCCAGGGCGATATCGTACCCGTTGGGAACCCACGTCTGGCTGAATATAACAATTATCATTATCACTATTAACTTGATTCCATTCCATCATTCCGTTTTTACAGACTTTACAACCAATTCTTCTGTTCACTTTCTCTTTAAAACGTTTTATATTTGCAGGTAATTTTATTAGAAGACTATCATCCACTATCAAGAAAGTCAGTACCTACTTATTCTATTACACCGTTGTCAGCTCTCAGATATCCAAACATTGAAGTAAACTTAGTGAACTGAAACGTTACCGTAAAATCATTTTCTTTTAGTTAAATGAAATAAAACATGTAAAATAGTTATAATATTTATTTAATGTCATTATTATTATACCTAATTAACAAAATTTGGGACGGATTGAAAAAGAGAAGAACCTTTTTTATTTTCAACTTTTAGAAAAATTGTTTTATTTATAAGTTTTTGCTTGTTTCAAAAATAATAAAAATAATTCAAACAGAAGTTGAATATCTCTTTGCTTTAGTGAATTATTAACAATTTTTTTTATTTATTGTATATTATTCTTCAACATGAAATAATACAAAAAATATATAGTTTTTGTTTTCTTTTATATTATTCAACATTAAAACCACCCAGTCACACATTAAAATTTAATTTTAGGGGTAGGAGGTTGGGGGGTAGTTTTTCTGGCTATCTGATGTAGGGACTCTGGGGTCCTTAAATCTATCCCTAAGTCCGGGATTTTCCCAACGGCGTTCCCAGAAATCGACGAGATATGTTGGTACCTTTGGGAATCGGAATTTCGGTCTTAGAATAATTTTGAGGATCTTGGTTGTTTATTAATCTTTATATAGAAGAATTCCGAATCGTTTAAGCGGGCCTCTCCGTAGCCTAGCCCAGTGTGTTTCAGCGCTGGGTATTTCGAACGCAACGGACAGCGGGTCGTGGTTCGACTCCCGCTGGCAGGCCTGTACTTTTTTTTGTTTTTAAATTAATTAATTAAATTAAATTAATTAATAGGATGGTGTGCCGAGCTCATTGGCATGTACAGGGCCTTATAATAACATTATAAAAAAATGGTTCTTATTTCAAAAGCAGATAAGCGACGTAAAGTACGGTTTCACCGTGTTCTGCGATGGTAAATTATACTATAATGTTAAAATGTGTGTACCTACCGTGTAGAGAAAAAATGCATCTTTTAAAAATGGCACTAACCACTCACACACCAAAAACCTTTATAAAACTACTTCACTTCCGCGATCGGAGCCCTATACTGGGGCCCTGGTATCGACGCGAGTTAGAAAATTAAAATTGTAGAGGATTTACAGAGATAAATAGTAGCGCTCTCTGAAAACACGTCCGTCCTCTTTGAAGGTTCTACTACTAGCACTTGAGAAAAAGAATTACTTCCCTCCCTTATTTTTACTTTTAAAATTTCAACGTCATTCTCCAAATTAAAACTGCAAACAAATTGTTTTAAGTTAATTGACACTTATTGCAAAGCCACACGATGACTTGATTTAATTGTCGATGGAAAAATGTTAGCATTTTTTATTTTAATTTTTGTCATTATTTCACTAAATCAAAGAGAACTTTTTTTAATATTATTATTAAAATAATTTGTTTTGAAACAAGCAAAAAATTTTATTAAAAATAATTGCATCGTTCGTTGTAGGATTTGATGGGTGCCCTATTAGCGGTAATTTAATTTCTCTTGATATGGCATTCAGGTGACAAATCGCAGTGCGTTGGTGTAACGATGATGGTGGGTGAGGTTTTCCAGAGTGTCCTCACATATAAGTCAAATGGCACCATGTTGTCCCGGAATGCCACGAATATAAGAATAAATTAACTCGTAAGAGAATTAATTAGGTGACTTATTAATATTATAACATTTTTCGAATATGTGAAAATAAAACGGTTTTTTCACCCTTCACTAATTTTTTTAGTGAAACATAAATTAGAAATTTTATATAATGTACTCGTGTATTACACATGTGTTTTGATATTATTTAAAAATTAAAGGTAACTGTTCATCCTGAGTCGTTTTCTGGGAAAAATAAGTAAATCTTTTATTTTTACATTGTCTTTTTCGATCATAGGAGCCGAAGTCCAATAATCTGTTTGTGAGCTATGGGAGAAAACTCATTTTTTTAAATAATTATTTAACGTTTCTCCTGGATTATTTCCGAGCTCCCCCCCCCCCCCCCCCCCCCACCCTCCAGTACTCAGCGCCAATGCTTTTAATTAATTATACTTAGTACCTATTATAAGTTACACAATTTCCAGGAACACCTTTAACACCTAAGTTAGTAATAGCGAAAACACTTCCAGCTAAAGGTTCTTTTTCTAATTTTTCAGGAGCAGCTTCAAATTTTAAGCGAGAGGTGGTGGCGTATAAGATATCCAAATTTGGTCCACCGAATACTACAGAAGTTATATATGTGGCTGGCATTTTTATTTTCATCAAAATCTTCTTAGTTCTTGGGTCAACTCGAATTATCTAAAAGCAAAAATGACATTTAAGAGCAATCCTATAGAATAGGGCGATATAATTATTAGTTTTAGGATATTTTTCTTTTTTAAATGGCGAATCTAAATTAATTATCACCTCTTTTTAATACGAGTATAATAAAATTGCCAGTGATTTAAAATAAATTATACTTTCACAATAATTCTGGTTGCCTATGCAATCACTAATATTTTAAGGATAATACAGCTGGTATTTTTTATAATGTTATACTGGTTGCCTATACTACTATACTATATGTCGTTTCCATTTTAATAACCATTTTAGCGAATATCGTAATTTTTTAAACACACTGTGAGCCTTTACTGTGATTAGTACATTTCAAATAAATGAGGTTATGGTTTATTAAATCATTAAATCCTTAAAAAGATCATGTAAACAAACGTCACCTATTTCTTAAAAATAAGTTTCTGAGTCTTCCTTTTCGCAAATTTCTGATTTCTTGATGGAACAGTTTCCAAAAAGAAGTTCAACGATGGACAAAATTTCAACGTAACCTGTCTATTTATATTTTATATTTGCCGTATTTTATAATGCCCATAACCTATATTCGGAAATACAAACAAAACAGAGCCGAATTGCAATTGCGCATGTGTCGAATTCTAAATATTTCCCAGACAGCAAACTATATCCCTTGCAATCTGCCTATTTACCAAAATATATTGCAATATTTATAAAATATTCACAGAATAAATATATTTCCTAATGTACATTCTAGGAATATATTCCAGGTGTATGTATTTTTTAATATGCTCAGAATATTCATTTTTCATATTTTTTTGATATAAATATAAATATATAGTAACCAGGAACACAATTGTTTAGTTTATAAAGTCTTAAACAAAAACGTGAACTTAGAACTCCGGAATATAGGTACCTAGGTAAATTAAATTGTGCAAACTTATTTTCAATAAAAAAATAAATAAAACCGTTGAAATTGAATTTTCTTTTTCTTAGGTTTTCTTCATAGATCAAAAATAGTAATCTATAGTGTCTCATTGTCTCCACTCATAATCTAACCTCTCATCGAAGGTAAGTCTCTGGGAGGTTAGAATGTAAAGAATATTTAGCTGCGTTCAATGAGTGTATGAATTCTTCCTGCGATTGGGGAAGCAGATCCAGCTTCCTGAAAGGTGCGCTCAATTTGCAAAAATTAAATTTATGTCGAACGACAATTCTAAACTGCTGGCCACTCGAACTTACACGTAGGGATTTTTAGGCAAAATTTAAAGTTCAATATTTTCAATAGGAATGCAAATTTTTGAACGCGACTTGCATATTTTAAGAGCTAGTTTTTTGGATTATGCTGCATGACGCATATTTATCGTAGGACCATAGATTTATTATATACGGAGTGATCAATGAAGTCATGCAAAAAATCAAAAAGTTTGTATGAGTGAAATTTCCGCAAACAATTTTTTTGGTCGTTGCAATATGGTTCGTACTAAGGTAACATCAATATTTCTAGATTTTTTTGTCAGTTTTTGGATTAAGGCTCTTAGGCCTTGTACACACTACTAAACATAAAATTTGGGTAGCAAATGTTTAAGATGCTATAAACTAAAATTAGATTGACGGTTCTTGATGATTTTTACAGATTTAGAATCCTTATTTCACGTAAATTTTCTATGGTCTTAGTATTTAATTTAGTATTGACATTTACACACTATACCGGGTCGATAATAGACAAAAACGTAGCGACAAGAACAAGTTTATTACATTATATTATACAAGATTGGTTAGCAACGGTTAAAAGTCAATTCTTACAAAATTTGTAATTCTAAACCTAATTTAAAGGTATTAGGTATGTATGGATAGGGATACTTAGTGGTAATTGGTATTGGTAATTTTTAATAAATAAAAAAAAAATTAGCCTGAAAAACATAAGTTGTCTGTCCATTAATTTTTCAAATGCCTACTTTGAAATATGGGCTTGGGGTGGACAAAGAACTCTAAGAGTTCTGTACAGAACAGTGAGAAAGATAATAAATAAAAACAGCTTGAGGTGAGAATTTGTTTTTACAAAAACTGAAATAATGCCAAACCTTAGAGCGCGTCATACGCTACGTTTTTGACTATTATCGACCCGGTAAAATGTGTAAATTTTAACCCTCACATAAAATGCTTAGTCCAGTTAAAATCTACGTGAAATAAGGATTCCAGATGCGCAAAAATCATCAAAAACCTTCAATCCAATGTCAAGTTATAGCATTTTAAAAATTTTGCTACCGAAATTTTATGTTTAGTAGTGTGTACAAGACTTAAGGGCCTTAATCCAAAAACCTACAAAAATATCTAGAAATATTGATGTTACCTTAGTAACAAACCATATTGCAACTACCAAAAAAAAATTTTTTGCGGAAATTTCACTCATACAAATTTTTTGATTTTTAGCATGACTTCATTGATCACCCTGTATATAACAAACCTATGGTCCTACGATAAATATACGTCATTAAGCTTAATTCGAAAAATACCAGCTCTTAAAATCTGCAAGCCACGTTCAAAAATTTGCATTCCTGTTGAAAATATTGAACTTCAAATTTTGCCTAAAAATCGCTATGTGTAAGTTCGAGTGGCCAGCAGTTTAGTTTAATGAAACGCAATTGAAAAGTGAACTTGTTTATTGTCACTTGAAGTTTTGATCAAAAATCTACAATATTCTTTATATTTAAGTGTTTTTTTTTTATCATTATATAAAGCACAACCAGGTTGTTAAAGATATATTTTTTAAGCAATCGCAAATAGCGGTAAGTTTTAGGGGTTTTAGGGGTTTAAGGTTATTTTTGGTTGTTTTTAAGAGTTTTCCCGCTCAAATTTCGCGATCGCAATAGAAAGGAGCGTAAAAATTAAATGCTCCAAAATGATACCGATCGATACAAAGCGATATCTATCGTAGGACGAAAATGATTAATATCGGTTGGGATCACTGTCTCATTGAACGCAGCTTTTTTCATCGAAGATAATCTAACCTAAATGGAAAAAAGGGACATAGTGTGCCGGCTGGGATCATCGTCTGAATATAATGTAAATGTTCAATTTTTGCCCAATTTAAATCTTCTGTTTAAAAAAGATACAGATACTCTATTTATAATTCACATAAATTACCCCGTATAAATAATATATAATAAACATAAAAATAAAAATATATTTTGTTACTCATTCAGTACATTAAAAATCTTTAACAAAATTGGAAGACGGCTGTGGCCCCTTAGCAACAGTAAACACAATTTACCAGTTTATGGAATTCTAGGAAAAACATATTTGTACAACTTTGCACACCTCCATTTTGAGCGCCAAAATAAATATAAAATACGTATATCTCCTTCATGGAAAATTACCAATAATTTAAGCATTAACGCTAGCTTCGTCGTACTTATGAATCTGTTTCACTTGCACTAACACAAGAATAGTAAAATAGACCGTTAAAACACATTCATCGATACTTTCTCAACCAATCACAACGAAACACGCCCATAATCGCAACTACTTACACTTGACTCGACAAGACAAACAATAAGAATGATTTTGACTATCGAAATGTCAACATATTTGCTTTCTACCGTCGCGAACTCAATGCTAATTTTGAGATGTAATAAATAGTAAATTTAAGTACTCAAATCATTTCACTATGTAAAATTGTTGCAAGCTGAAGAAAGTTTATAGTGTAAATAAAGTTGTTAACTGAAAATAGTTATTTATTATACAAGGGAAAAAGTATTAGAGCTAATATCTAATATTTTTCTCGTGTATAGAATACTATTTTTTCTGTGACGGGAAAAACGACGATTTAATATTGAAAAAGTATTCTAAAATATTTACCTTTTACCCCGGGAAAAAAGTACTTTTTTCCCGGGGAAACACTTTTTTCTCAAGAAACGAAGAAAAAAGTAATTACGAACGCCCTTGTGTATAATTCCAAATATGGTCATTTTGGGGTTTAGACCCCAGTTTTTCCCACATCTTCTTTAGCTTACGAGAGCTATTGTAGCTTTATGTGTGAGTTTTTTGAGATGTTGATTCCACGACAGCCTTTGTTCAAATATGACTCCGAGGTATTTGGCTTCTGTGACGAATGGGATAATTGTGCTGTTTAGTACTAGTGGTCTTAGACCTGTAAGTACCCGTTTTTTTGTGAATGGTACAACTGTTGTTTTTTGTGCGATGATGGACAATTGTTCCTTTTTGCACCAGTTGTTCACTATGTTTAGAGCTGTTTGAGATCGCTCCGAAACTGTACCTGCAAATCGCCCCCTGACGATAATTGCTAGGTCGTCTGCATATCCTTGGCACTGGAGCCTTCTTTGAACAATATTTTGAGTAAGTCGTCCACAAGAACTGACCACAGCATTGGAGGTAGTATTCCTCCTTGTGGGCAGTCCGTGTAACTTTTGCGGATAAAATAATACCGTTCTCTAGACAGGCAGTGATCCATTGGCATATTGTTATTGGAGAATAAAACAGATTAGCCCAAGGAAAAAAAAATGTAACTGAATAACAGATTCTGCGATTTTATTTCGATACTTACATGACTTCCTCCAAATAAAGCAATCCATAAATTATCGTTCGCATCAATAGTCATGCCATCTGGTATGCCACTCAATTCTGGATGCTGTTTGAGATCAAATACAATTTTCCTATTAGCTAAAATTTAAAATATAAAGATCAATAATTAATAAATCAATTAGAAAATCACATATATTGTATTATCATCATAAAATAGAACAAATAAAAGCTTTTACTGGTCCCTAACGTCTGCTTTCCGGTGTTGATCGGAAAAACGTTATTTTCTGGACGAAAAATTGTTCAGAAAGTATATGTATATTTTCTGGTCGGTCTTAAAAAAATACATTGTCTAGCAATTTTAGGGAGAAATACAATTAAAAACAAATACTGATTTAATTCGATAAATTTTGCTCTTATAATAATTTGTATCAGACACATCCATTACAGAGCTAATTTGTAATAGATATGTTATAGTGTGCCTGGTGAAGAAGTAACTACTTCAAAAGAGGTCGCTCATTAAATAACTGTGAGAAATAAAGGACTTTTCTTCCACCACCTTACTCAATTTCTATAGAATCTGCCATTTAAAGCAAATTAATGAATTTGACAAAAGCAAAGCTAGAAAAATCCAGGTTCTATGATATAATTTGCTTTTTTTACTACTAACATGAGAAAGCACCATTATTTACTCCATTCCTCCAATGAGAAGTAATATTTCTCACCCTAGGTAAATAATAATAATAAAAAAAAAACCTAGGTAAATAATGAAACTAAATTTCATTTTGTTAATTTGACAACTAAACTCCCAGACTACTTGATATTTTGAAATATTTGAAAAATAAGTAGGAAATAACTAAAGCTGGGTTTATCAAATCTAATCAAATCAAATATGATAATATATATCAGTGTAAACAGTAAAAATATATATTAACTAGGAAATTCAACACCGGCTTCAAAAATAATTAATTAATACCAATAAATCCATGTCATTAAAATATCAAAAATGCAATGGGATATTTCCTAGAATTATACCTAAATTTGACACATGCCAAATTTTTACATAAATAAAGCCAGTCTGATTAGAAACACGCTCCAGTCTGCTTGATATTTCGAAATATTTAACAAATTGTTAGGAAATTACTTATGTCAAAATTAAAATTGCTAATATATTAATGTTAGTAGTAAAAAAAATTCTATATATACCTCGGCTGAGAAAGCTATTATTTACCTCGCACATTATATCCCTCGGCGCTACGCGCCTTAGGATATAAAAGTGCTCGGTAAATAATAGCTCACTTCTCTCCCTAGGTATATAATGTACTATTTTCTATCGTCTTTATTTAAAGACAAACGCCAACCCAATCTGTAAATTTTTTTTTGGAATCTTTTTAACATCAGGCATTCCCAACAAAATGGTTGCCCCCGTAGGTAAATGACAGGCCACTGACAAGCACACAATAGGTTATGATATGACAATATTGTGGACTCAGCACATACTTTGATTACTATACGGTGCAAGAGAGAGGTCCGACCACATACTTTGATTTTCTTTTACTATACGGAGAATGGTCGCACTGCGCAGCTTTCTGAGTGCCTTTTAAAAGGAGATAGAAAACTCCGCCATTTTGATGCCTAATTACGTGTTGCCTACATCTTGGTGCAATATTTTTAATAGGTACGTTTTAATCATCCGCTTCTGCTTTGGAATTGTCAGTTTTCTTGTTTTAATCTGAGAGGTTAAAACAACTAAACCGACAATTCTGGAAGCAGAAGCGAATGATTAAAACGCACCTGATATTTTGCTTGCTGCTGTTAGTGTCAGTAAATATTATTTTTGAAGTCACAGTTTATTGCTAAAGAAGTTAGCTCACTCGGACCAGTTGAAAGTTCCAAAATAACATCCACTCCAGGGATACAAATTCAGGATGCGCAGAAGACTGCTGTTTTATTATAGACGGTTGTCATATATTCTATTATCCGACTTGCGCAGTGCATAAACTGGAACATTAAGATCAAAAGTGCCGACGCAGAGTGAGCAAACTGATTCTTTAGTTATAAACTGTGGTAAAGGCATCAAAATGGACGCGCCCTATGTTGGGCGTGTATGTGGGGCTCATTTTGACAGGTCGTTGGAATGCCTAATTGTTAAACCAATAAAATTTAAATGGGGAAAGTACCAAGTATGACATAATTGGTTCTTTCGTTTACTGTTGGTGCATTGTCCACCAGTGTAAATGACACCAGTTACACCTCCTTATTTACCCTAGTTTACTTCCTCCTTATACATATGTAGAATGTAATTTGGTCCTGCTAAATAGCTGGTGGAGAAATTATTCACCAGTGGACATCATATCACCGACAGGAAGGTATAGTGGGTTTTACACCGGGCCAAATGAGAGGTTTAGTGTCCGTTGGTATAGTTCATTCCAACACCAGTGGGACGAACGAAAGAACCTTATACTGAAAAAATAATTTTATTGGGACATTTTATCGCGTTACTTTTTGTTTTAGCTCGCGCCGACTAGTAGAATAATATACTGTTCATGTGGTCCCGGCAAATATCAATATCATAATATAAGGATGGTGCCGTTGTTTATGTTTCTAAATTTTGGATTTGAATATAGTATATAAGAGCAAAGCTGGCTGGAATACAGCGGCTTGCGTGTCTCGCCATAACGGAGCAATGTCAACTACACCTACGGGAGCCATGGAGACCATGCTGGACCTAACCCCTCTCCACATTGTGTTGGAAAGGGAGGCCAGAATGGTCTCCTACAGGCTCCTCAAAGTGGTTAGTCAATGTTACGAAGAACTGCGGTGGGACAAGACGGGGCTGGTAAGTGAAATTAATAATCACCCCATCCTCGGTATGGTCTCGGACTCGCTAGTTCCCCGACAGCACATAGAAAAGCCATACAGCGTCCTCATTCCAGAGAGAGACGCATGGAGCAAAGGGGAAAACCCTCTTCCAGGCAGACTATGCGCTGTACACGGACCGCTCCAAAACTGAAAAAGGAGTAGGAGCGGGAGTTTTCGGCCAGAGGCCTAGAGTTGAGATATCAATAAACCTAGGCTCTCTGGCCACGATCTTCCAAGCAGAAATGATTGCTATAGAATTGGGAGCGAGAGAGTTGATTAATTTTCTCCCCGCAAACAAGAATATAAAGATCTTTTCAGATAGCCAGGCAGCCCTTAAGGCCCTGAGCTCCAATCGAATTGACTCAAAGCTGGTTTGGAACTGTATAAATACCCTAGAGTGTCTCGGTGCCCGGAACAAAGTTACTTTCATCTGGGTTCCGGGACACAGTGGTGTGGAGGGCAATGAAAAAGCCGACGCACTTGCTAAAGTAGGAACCGAATCTGTGTTCATAGGACCAGAACCATTCCTGGGCATTGCAAAAAGCACTGCCAAAGGAATTATCTCAAAATGGACGGAGGGTGCAACACTCACGAACTGGAGAGATACCCCAGGGCTAACCCATTCGAAGGCGTTTATAAACAACCCTTCCATGAACGCCTCTGCTCAGATCCGAGAATGGAGTAGGAGAGATATACGCATTTTCACTGGACTGATGACAGGGCACTGCCGTCTGGGCAACCACATGAGAAGGATAGGTCTGCAACAAACATCGGACTGTCGATTCTGCAGCGTTCCAGATCTTCGGATTTACCCGACTGGAGCCTACCGACTTTAGAGAAGTCTCACCCAATTCAACCATGACCTTCATCAAAAGGTGTGGCTTGTACGGTGAACTTTAAGTTAGTTATGAGTCACAATAGACCCGTCTAGGTCGCAGTGGAGGGCGATGAGATCATCCCACTCATTTTCAACCTAACCTATAAGAAGCACACTTTTGTAATTGTATATAAGACATAAACAGAATAAATTTAATTCTCAATAGTGTCATATGGTGAGTGTTGCCTCTTATTATTTAAGATTTAAATTAATTTTCCGGCGCTTTGTAAGTAGACAAGACACACTACAGTTATCATACCATTTAATTTATTTGTAATAGAACCATATTATTCCAAGTGGCATGTTAATATTTCCGTACAGCAGTTACGTCTTAAATGCTCTACTAAGGCAGTTACTGCTTTAACCATATTTGTCACTAAAATAACGACATTCTGAAATATATATTATTGTGTTTCGCTACAATAAAATAGTAATAGATTGATTACAAATTTAATAACAACGCCAACATTGAACCTACTTACACATGTTATAAAATGTACCCTCAGAGAGTGTACGGCTTAACTTGAATCATCAATAATTATTAGAACTTACTTATATTTCCGGTTTCTAATTTAAAAGTATATTCCTGTACATATCTAGTTTGGCTGTCTATATAATAAAATTTTGTACTATCCGAACACCATGCCAATCCATTGCTAATACTGGTTTTAGTTATTTTCTCTTTAATACTAGTAAAAGTACTATCGAACAGGTAAAATGAACCGCCATGATTTGATACTGAGAGATCAGATCGGTTTCTCGAAAGTGTTCCTAAAAAAAGTCATGTAAAATAAAAAATATTTAATTTTCTGAAATAATTATTCACAAGTACATCTAATCCAGTAAACATTTTTAAATAATGAGGCTTAGCATTATACAAAAAAAAAAGAAACAGAGCTGCAATGGAAGCCCGCTTTATTACAATTCACCAGGACAGACTAAAATTTTTAAACAGGACCATAGCCAAAACTCACCCAGCATCTACTAGGCCATTATAAGAAAAATACTATGGTACTAGGAGATATATTAACAGAGCATTGTAGACTTTGCATCAACCTTTTGCCGATTACGCCAGGAAGAGAAAGAAACTGCAGTACACGTATTTTTCTACTGCGAAGGTCTATCAAGATTGAGATTCCTTACACTTGGAGAATGAAAACCAGGGCAACTAGCTACGCCGGAGAGCTACTGTCTAGGATATGGAGTTTACTACCAAATACCAAACCAGACATGGTACTCTAACAAATGATTGAAGGACATCCGCAATAGATCTGAAAAGGTCGAGGTGAGGGAGTCTACATAGCCTACGGTCCCAACGAAATCTAATTTATTCCTTCATTATGTGATGTAAAGGGTGGCGATTAGGTCTTTAACGATTAGAGAACACACTGAACATAATATGTCTAGTCTGCGTCACATGAGTAGGTTAGTAACAAGCAAAGAGTAATATAAGCAAGAGTAACAAGGGACGTGCTAGAGATAAGAACAGATCACATACCAAAAGATATTTCATTTTAGGTTCTATTATAGAACAGAATTGATATCACCATAAGTAACCCAGTGCTCAATAACAGGAACAAACCTGGTATATTGACGGTTAGATTACTAAGGAAGGTAACGCGGTTGGATTATTTTCTGAAAATCGACTAAAATACATGTAATAACAAATCATACAAATCCGAAACTAATTTACCTAATATTTACGGTCTGAAGCCACCTAATTAAGTTAATTGGCGCCAGGCAGCGGTAAGATAAAATATTGATGTATAAATATTATATACAGAGTTGCATTACGTACTGTAGAAACTTAAATATCATATTGCTGAACTCAGTTTAACCAAAAAAAAGTCTTATGAATAAATTACTTTCTTCATAGTTACCGAGCTACAAGAGTTTAAAGATCAGAAGATAAATTAACATAGTGCGCCAAGTTTTCAAAATTTTTGGTTGTTTGTTTATCAACAATTATTATAAACCTCAGTTGACTAGTCACGCAGTTCCACACTTCTTGTCAACTGCGTTTTCTGTTTGTGATAAATTTAAATGTGCAATGTTTTAATGCTGTTTTCGAATAAAGAATATGACGACATAGTGTATATTTTTAAACCATTGTAGCTCGGTAATCATGAATAGTTGGATATTTGTTCATAGGACATCTTTTTCTTGAAATAAACTCAGGAATATGCTATTTTAGTTTGTACAGTACTTTATGCAATACCGTGTATATAGTAAAAAATCAGGACTCGAATGTTTAGAAAGGCTGGCTCAGTATACTGATGCCTCAATGCATAGACCACCGTGGCTTTACACCATAATTTGCAGGACGGTGTAATAGCCTATTTGGAAGTAAATCCAAGCCGTTGTGAAGCTCTTAATAATCGGCAATGTAAAATATCTCCCTTAGCAGCTATCCGTTAAGCAAACATACGTCAGTATTTAAGATGCTTAAGCCATGAAACGCCTAGGTTTTGCTACGGATCAGGGATTAACATTCAGTTATTATTTCAGATGCGAAAGGTACCATGAAATACGTAGGTCTTATTCTGGATCAGGGACTAAGATTTTGTCAACACGTAGAGGACTGAGTGAGTAAAGCAACGAACCTCATTGCGAGCCCTATACTCAATGCAGCACATATAGGTAGCTCTTCATGTACTTGAAAATTATTATGCCAATCCTAACAAGTGGGTGTACACCTAAGGAAATACATATTAAGCATTACTCAGGACACAGGGATAAGAAAATTCGGGTGCTTTCATAAAAATTTATATTTTTTATGAGGTAGCTCCTATATACCTGATACAGAACAACATTTAAAAACCTTCATAGGAAGACCATATTCAAAAAAGAACAGCTGAACTACTCTCTATGAGTAGAGGCCAATTGAGAATAATACCAGGACCCATAACCTGGCTTTTTCCAGCAAAACAATACCTAAATAAAATGGGCGTACATATGGGAGGTATATCTTGTTGACTATGACACAAGGAGAAACAGCCAAATATATACTGTCAGCCTACAAAACCTAGGCAAGAGACAGGTACTTTTTGCGTCAACCAAAATTACATCTGGTTATTTTTATAACCCAGGGATAATTTTTACCATATTTTTACAGAACAGACCCCTGTGTGACTAATGATATTTCACCACAGATAATTCGAAAATATTTATTAATTACAGAGCACAATTTTGTGACCACCAGATTTTCATAGAGAGGTCCGTTTATGAACAAAAACGTGTTAGTTATTTTTAAATTATACCATTACATTTTTAATACCATCGAAAGGGCGTATAGTAGAACCAAGTTATTCTTTTTAACTCTCTCATGGTCAAATATAATTAGACATCTCATTTTTATTTTGCTTAATGCGTTGGTTAACGTAAAGCGTGCTTTATGAATCGTATAATACTAACAAAATTGTAACAGATAGACAACACGTCTTTTTATTATTAAATAGATGTGTGAACAAACAATTATATTACCTCCCCAAACTCTTCCTTTTGCATCAACTTTTCCATCATTAAACTGATTAAGAGGTTTGTCATCTTCAACGGACATTATTTTTTGTAAATTAATTTTCTTCTTTTTTTCGAAAGGCCAGTGCAGTTTGTACACTACACGATCTGCGAAAACTAAAAATGTATCATTCTTGCCTTTGATTGGAAGTATGAATCCTACAGAGTCCCGTCCTTCTACAAAAAAATATGGAAAAATGTGTACTTAATTATCTTTATAATAGCCTAGAAAAGAAACGGCATATTGGAGTCCCCTCTCTTTTGTAGTCTAAGAAAGCCCAAATCACTCTCTCATAATACTTAAATTTTTAGCATTTGCGCATATTTACAGAATTTTCATATAAAAGCCTTACCTAGTTTGTACGATTGAATTGCACCATCTTGTGGTAACCGATATACGGTGCTTTTGAAAGTATCTACCCAGTAGAATGTGCTTGTTTCTGAGTGCCATACTGGTCCTTCACCGTGTTGAACTGGGGGTGTGATGGATCGGATTTTGTAACCACAA